ATTTCAAGTAGTGTGCTACCCTATTTTAAATCATGGCTACCCATTTCAAATCGTTTGTTAACCATTTGAAACAATGTGCTACCCATTTCAAATAGTGTGCTAGCCATTTGAAACAATGTGCTACCCACTTCAAATAGTGTGGTACCCATTCGAATAATGTGCTGCCCATTTCAAATAGACCATTGTAAACAACCGGTTTACTCATTCGAAATAATATGTACAATTCACTCTTCTGTACTAGGGTTGCCTCCCCAACCCGGCCTATCAAATGACAACGTTAATCCGGGTCTGTTTTTTTTTTTTAAAGAAGGAACGCAAGCCGACTTCACGGATCATCAGTTAATTGCGGTCTTTTTGATGATTCCAAGTCGTTATAACATACATAAAGCCGATGATAGGGCAGTCGAATTAAAAATGAATGCCTCTGATGCTATTATACATGCAGTTATTTTAAAGAAATTTGTACCTGGAAAAAAGCGTAGACCAAAAACGCGGGAGTCTATTCACCTCGTTTGAAGAATGAAACCGGGTTCGAGGAAAGTAAAGACGGATACATTCTATTACTACGTTCGCGAGGCTGTCGTGATGACCGTAGATGAAAGTTGTGTTACCAATAAGGGAAAGGGAGAATCGGACAAGGAACCTGTTCTTATAAAGGAAACCGTACTGAAGGATGACATTAAAACAGCGTTATATGAGGAACGAGTGAAATGAATGAGGGAAGAAAAAAGAGCACAACCTTTGAAAATTAGACTAGAGCAAGAACTGAAGATGCGATGCAAAGCCATCCAAGACTTGGCCAAAATAAAACCAAGCTCTTCTAATCACATTCCGCACATCGATTATCACCATTTATTTAATTTAAACACTAGGATTGGGAGTGGAACTTTCGGACGTATAGGATCCTATAGGTCCCTATAGGGGCCTATAGCCGTATAGGATCCTATAGGATCCTATAGGAACCTATTGGCGAAAAACCTATAGAATCCTATAGGAATTTGTCCTATAGGATCCTATAGGATTTTGTCCTATAGCATCCTATAGGATCCTATAGGATATTTTTGCCAGGGTTGAGATGCCAGTAAACTTTATTAAATTGATTGGAAAATGAACTTTGGTTTGCTGTATGTATGGTTTAATACAAAAGATCACGTAAAATGCAAAAACTAAAATGCAAAGTTAACGCTAGAATAAGTATATAAAAATTATTTTAAAAATCGTATTGCCTTTCCTTGCCATTTGTATTTTGTGTTAACATTGGCGGTTATTTTTACAAAACATATTCCCCAAATTTCTATACATACTTGCACAGGCTTCTGATTGTCGATTGTGTCTACTGTTTCTGATAAAAAAAAATAGGCAAATTATTATCTGTTAATAAAGGTATTATTATCTGTTAATAATGTTGAAGAGGGATTAACTTGCCAATAAGTTTGATGCAACTGTTGGCTTAATTTTTATTTAACATTTTTTTTGTCTTTTCTTTAGGGTAATGTGTCAGATGACGATTTGAAAACACAAGTGGACTTGGGATGCAACTTTTATGTTCAAGCAAAAGTGTAAGTTGTTTAGATCTTTGAATGTGTTAAATATTCTTAACTTATTATTTCACGTTGGTTCAGAATACACATTTCTCAACCATTTTGTGAGTCAAGCCAGGCCTGTGGGTCTATTGTGATGGTAGTTTTAATAGAAAATGTAATGTTAGTGTAAATGTATGTTAGTCACTTTAACATTGTTTTTTTTTTGTTTTTTTTTTAACAGACCGGATACTTCAAAGATATTTGTTCAGGTTGGGTTTGGATTTTTTGTCGAGTTCACTCTTACAGAAGCCTTGATTTTCATCGATGAAAAAATAAAACAACTCAACAAGTAAGTCTTTTATTTATTTTCCAGGTTAACAAAATGAAAAGCTTCAGCTAAAAGTAACAGTACTAAGATGATTGCCAAATTGTACACTATCAAAGTGGCTCTCCAATACTGCACCAATAAAAGCAGCAGAAATACATTTATTGTACTGTATTTTAACGACTATACTCATAAAAAATGGGGTAACATTCTAGCGTTTTATTATTTCATTGTATACATTGTAGAAACACAGACTTAACGGTTGATAGTGCGAGGAAGTTACACCTAGACAATAAACATACAAATAATGTATGTATTTTTGTGTTATTTTGCCAGCAGTACACTTGATTGCACAAGTGGGGTGCCCTCTGAACATATACCAACCCATGCAAAAAGTGGACAAGGAAACTCGCACTTGGCAGAGGCAATAAAAAGTACTGTCCATTGTCGGATTTCATAAAACTATCTTGTACTTTTTTTGGCACACGGAAGAGAACCTAAAAATAGGCCGACAGTGAACGTGTTCAAAATTGAAATAAAACAAGAGGGACTGCTCACCGGTCCGCGCGTTCCTCCACGCTTAAATACGTTTTTTTTTTGTGAAGATCTAATAAGATAGAAATGTTTTAATAATATAATGTTTATTTGTTCAAAACAAATTATTAATTAGAATGTTCATTTGTAGAAAATTAAATTAAAATATTTAAAATTTAAAAAAAATTAAATTTCTTAAAATTGGAAAAAAAAATTGAATACCAATACGCGATTCAAACTCACAACCTTAGGTTCTTTAGAACATGTACACTTAATTGACCGCACTATGCATGCGACGTGCCCTATTATGGTAATATGGCAGTAATGTACAGTCCTTGCTCACACTCCAGTGTTTTGTAGGTGTAGGAGGAACCCTGGGTCCAACTTAAAAAAGGGCGATGAACATTTGTTGGAAATCACCTCTAGTTTTTCTGTACAAAATTTCCTGCATGTCCGTTCAAGTTCTAGTAACAAGAACAAGAGGTTTTGGGGTCAGCACCTTGTGCAGACCCAAAAATTCTAAGCTTAACAAACATTTTGATTTGCTCAAACAAAATGAACAGAATTGCATAAACTTGTCTCTCAAAAGTTAAAGTTCAGTGGCTCTGTTGTTTATGTTTGATGACGTTTTGTATCTTATTAAGTCGATAATTATGTTGTCTACCGCAGAAAGTGTGAGAAACTTACCAAAGATTCAGCCACGATCAAAGCAAATATAAAACTTGTGTATGAAGCGCTCAAGGAACTGCAACATATCAGTGACAAGAAACCAGAAGAAGGTACTGTGGTTTGGTGAAGATATTCTTCAGTGATGATTTATTTATCAAATGGAACCAGCAATTTACTACACAACTAAGGTATACGTTCATATCAACACATTGTTGAAATGATAAGCCTTAAAATACTGTTGAAAATTGTGAATATATTTGTAAAATTGTGAATATGTTTGTAAATTTGGTCATACACATCAGAAAGTGGGAACAAATTGGATTATGCCACGTAGGTTGCCTAGATTGACTAACACTTATTTAAACTATACTTGCCTTCATTGTTAAAGGTATTATTATCCACGTTTTTAATGTTTCATTTGTTTGTTGTAAACAAATGTATGTCTTGCGATTTAAGATGCTTGAACCTTTTTGTTTGTAAATTCAGAACCTCTGTCTGTATGAATTTTTAAAAGTTTTCTTTGCGGATAGTAGTTTCTTCATAGCATCCAACATTGTATCGCTGTATTATTGTATTATGCATGGATAACCCATGCATATTTCAATAATACATTGATACATGTAATGCGAAATCTGTATTGTTTATTGTAGCGTTTTAGTGTTAAATCAACGAGATCCAATTCCCATTGCTCATCAATATCTGTTACATATAATCTATATCTCGGGAAACGGTGTTGAATAGGCTTATGTAATGTGTATGTGTCTTGTGTGCTTAGCCATTTTGTAACTTGTTTCTTAGTAATATTTAATTCATCTTTCACACTTTGATAAAGTCGTTCTGCACCTTCAAAACTGCCAGGATGTTTAGGATCGTAATAGACTTTTCTCAATTTCTCGTCAATACTCATTTCTCTCACACAATCAAATAAAACGAGACAACTAAATCGAAGACTAATAATCATTTAAAATTCATTCATTTTTTTTCCATAGATTTATTTACAAACACTATTGAAAATGATTACAGTAGAACATCACAGAAAAATAATAATAATAATAATAATAATAATGCATGTATAAATACATTTAAAATCGCTTATGCATTTAAATTTTATCAGCATATATTGAAAACAGGATTTGTAATTTACAGCAATCAAATAATAATAATAAAAAATTATAATGATAATAACGATAATAAAAATGAGACATGGTACGTTTAAGAGCTTCAAACATTAAAAATTGTATCAAATAAATGAATATCAGATTGAATTGAAAGCAATAGATGGAATGTATTTTCACATGTAATACTAATGCTTTGTCGATCAAGCCATTGATCATACACAACTTGATCATCGATATAGTCGTCATATATAGTATTTTCTCAAAATATTTGCTTAATTGGTCGTAGCCGGACATCATCAGACAAATTTGTGATTTGTATTTAAGATGCATAGGAATACATTCGTCACTGGTTTGTGAGCCAATAGCAAGCACTTAAAATTAGTAGGTGGAGTAAAAACCAACCATACAAATTTAAATAAGTTGTTTATTATAAGTAAATTTATTTGATTAACAAGTACCTCTTTGAAGCAAACTCTAAAGT